ACATAGAGAACAAAAGTGAACAAACTTTAAATTCTTTTAAAAAATAAATTGCGTGTATTACAGAAAAACTGAACTAGAAAAAGTAAAAAACAAAACTGCCACAATTCCAACTACCCAGAGCCATGTGGGACTGGAGGGTGGTGTAGCAGTGAAATGTGACACTCCTTAAGGCTGATCCACATAAGAAGGGTTTGGGTTGACTTTTCTGAGTTCACTAAGCAGACATGTGCCAGTGATCAAGGGCTGGCTGAGGCTGGAGGTGGATCGTGGCATGAAGACTCTATGGGGGGGGGACCAGCAGATGGTGTAATGGTTACATGGCTAGACTCCCACACAGTTGTCCACAGTTCTTGTCCTGGACCAGCTGGCTTAAAATACCAGGTGTGTGGTGTGCTTGCCCAAGATCCCAAGAGGAAAACTGAGAAGGGATTGTGGCATGGTTGTCCCCCCGGGGGGTGATTTCTCACTTTCTGTGTCTCAGTCTCTGTCTGTGTGAGTGAGAGTGAGTGCATATACCCGATAGTAAAAATATCTCTCAAAAAAAAAAAAAAAAAAAAAAAAAAAAGACCCTATAGGAGTGTCAGTCTTTGTCTCTTTTTCTCTTGCTTATAGGAGAAATAGGTAAAATAAACAAATAAACTTTAAATATATTAATAGAAAACACTGCACAAAAATTTTAGAACACCAAAATCTCATTTTGTTTTGGCAACCAACATAGTTAAAAATTTATTCAAGCAACAATCGGCAATAGATACTAAATCTAGAACAAAGTTTGATGAGCAATAGGATAGTTATTAACCTCAATATATTTCCCCACAAATTATTACTGAGAAATGAAAATCAGTAACTGTTTAATATGGAAACTACTGAATGCCTTAACCAAGCAATCAAATAAACAAACTAAACAGCAAACTATGGGCCAGCAATGGTGGCACAGTAGTAACGCAGTGATCTGCAATGTTGAGGTTGGATGAGAAGTTCCTAGGTTTGTATTCCAAGATCTCTCTGTGCATAGAAGGTACCCATGTACATGCCTGTGACCCTGGCTGGCTGGAGGGAGTATAACATAGTAAAGACCCTGTGGTGGGTACCTGATTCCCTCCCTTCTTTCTTTGTCTCCTTTTTTTAAAAAAATTACCTATTTGATTTTATTTCTTTTTATTATTATTTTTAATTTGCTATAGAGCACATGCGGTCACCAGAAAGAGATAAAGAGAGAGGGCAAGTGAGAAAGCAAGAAAGCAAGCCACCAGGCCCGGGACTCAAACTGCAGTCAGCCACATGGGAGTCCAGTGCCTCAATCACCTGCTGGCCCGTCTCCCACTTTCACCAAAGAATTACCAAAAACAACAACAAAAAAAATCATGTTCCTCCAGACGATAAAAAAACACATACTGAGGCCAGCAGGTGGCGTGGTAGTTAAGGTGCTGGACTCCCACATGGTTTACAACAGTGAGCGCATGTGCCAAATGCTCTCAAAAAAAAAAAAAAAAAACCCTAAAAGAAAAAAAAAGTAAAGAAAAACATATTACTTGTCTAGTATTTCAGCCAAATGTGTATGATCTGAATTACGAGGAAACCTTAGACATTAAGGGGCACTGTATAAATAGCCTGCCAAGGTAATAAAAGACAAAAACAAGATTGAGAAACTATTCTAAAAGATTAAAGACTAGTGAGACAACCAAGCTAAATGTAACCTGTGATCCTGGATTGGCTACTGCACCAGGAAAAAAAATGACCAATATAGGGCATAATAGGAACAACTGAATATGGACTACAGCCTAGATAAAAGTATGACATCAATGGCAAACTTCCTGAATTTGATAACTACTCTGGTTACATAAGAAAATATGTTTATTCTTAGAAAATGTATAGGGGAACCAGCAGTTAGCGTAATGGCTATGTCGCTGGACTCCCACGTAGTCGACCGCGGTTCGCGTGCAGGACCTGGTGGCTTAAAACTCACGCCAAGCGCGTGTGCGTGCGTGCCCAAGATCCCGAGAGGGGAATCCATCCCCCCTGGGGGGTGATTTCTTGCTTTCTGTCTCTATGTCTCTCTCTGTCTGGCGAGCGCACGAGCCCTATAGCAAAAACCTCTCAAAAAAAAAGAAAAGAAAAGAAAATGTATACTTAAGTATTAAGGGATATAAAAGAACATGATGTATACAATTTACTCCTAAATAGTTCAGAAAAAAAAAAGTATGTGTATAAAGAGAATAATAGAGCAAATGTGGTAAAATTTTACAAATTAGGATACTTAGGTAAAGGGTATATAAGAGTTATTTATATTTCTAAGTTTTCTTTAAATATGAAATTAATTCAAACTAAAAAGTTAAAACAAAAAACCTTTTTTAAGCATTCTTCAATGTGTATATACACAGATGTGTGTGTAGTATTTTTTTAATTAAAAAATTGAATCATTAGTTTGATTTGCCAACTATTTAGTTTTGGAGGCCCTCCCAAACACATTTAAACACCCCTGAGAAACGGCAATCGTTTTCAGACTAATTAGAAGTGTCTTTCTCTGCTCCTCTTCTTAGGAAACTTCCCTCCACATACCATAAATACTCACCTCACAACCATCTCTTTAACCAGTCACAGCTAATTAGAGGGATCAAGATGGAAAATAGTGGCTCTTTGACACCTTGCCAATTCCTGTGAGATCCATCTGTAGTTTCTTCAAATAAAGTCTCTGAGATTTTCTCTATAGCCTTATAACAAATTCTTTACTTAGCTAGCTAGAGCTGATTTCTGTTCCTGCATCCAAACAAACCCTAGAACAGAGAGGTAGAAATAAACTATGAGCTTCCAAGAAGGCAGGGATGGTTTATCTACCTAGGTATCCTTGGTGCCAGCAAAACAATAGCTACTCAAATTCATCTTTTATCTGTGTTCAAAAATATTGTTTCAGTGGAGGCTTAACAATTTAAGATATAATAAGGTTTTATCAATTCAACCAATTAAGCACCTTCATTTAAAGAGAACAAGTACAAAATTCACCTTCTGGATACAATGTATCAGACTAATTTTAGACTCCCACCAATTTATAGCTACTAGAGCATCCTAGCCATTCAAATGAATCAAATCATTAATCTTCCCATTTTCTGCCCCTTTGTTAAATAGGAAATAGGTTTTCAAATGACTAGATCTATCCTTCTTTAAGTGACATATAAAGCAAAATGATAAAAGGAATCCAAGACCTCTATCTGTAAACTAAAACAAAACGAAACAAACAAAAAAACAGGAATTACTGCATTTACTAGTCTGTGAAATAAGAAAACAAGTATGTATATTTCTCATATATAATTATCCTATATATAAATCTCTGAAAAACCCAAACACCCCATTCCTGACAATATGTTAAGTGGTAATGATTAATTCTTTTCTCCACATTTTTCACTTGTTCCTAAAAGTCATGGACACTAAGCTTGACCTTATTCTTAGGATACAGTTAAAAAAGTGGGAAAACATATTTAATCTTTAAATTTATTTAACTCAAATTTATGTTTAAGATAATTTTAAGTCTTTAACTAAAAATCATGTTTCAGGGCCAGCTAGGTGGAATGGCAGTTAAGGCAGCTGGATCTCACATGGCTGGCTACACAGTTGAAGTCCCAAGGCTAATGCTGCTTGAAAAACATGGCAGGCACATGTGCGTACATTTCTAAACTCCTGTGAGGAGTATGAAGGAGGACTGCAGCTTGATCATCCCCTTGGGGTGAGGGGGACGAGCTTTCTAACTTACTGTCTCTCTACCCCTCTGTTTCTCTGGTGTGTGTACCCTACACAAACAAAAAATTAAACTGGAATCAAAATTTAAAAAGTAAAAAAAATATATATATTTTAAATACTCTTTGAAAACAAAAGTCAACATAATATTTTTTAAATTAATCTTTCTTTTTGTCTCGGATAAAATGTTAAACAATCTAATTTTGTAAAATTTTAAATTATGGTACAAATACTACAAACCAAAACCAACTCAGTCCCACCATCAGATCCTACCTTTCTGCCACAAACTCAGACCTTAAATGCTGCAATGAAAATGACTATGAGACAGGTGTGATGACTCAATATTACGTTTCTCAATAATAAGCTTCAGGATCAAGAATGTTTCTTCCTTTGGATTAACACTGAACTATGCAACCTAAGAGTTGGTAGGATATTATGTCTTTTCACAACTGGTATAAAAATAGAATAAAGAAAGCCACCAAGGGGCCAGCAGGTGGCGTGGTGGTTAAGACACTTGACGATTTCCACAGGATGGATGGCATTTTGAGTCCTGGACCTGGTAGCTTGCTTTCTCACTTTCCTGTCTCTCTCTGGTGAGCAAATTTAAAATAATAATAAAAAAGAAAACCACATAAATAATCTTGTTTCTCATGTTGACTTGTATACAATCTATTAAACCCAAATTTCCTATAGAAGAGTTTTAAAATGTAAAAAATGTTTTAGCTAAATATGACAGATGTATAGTTGATTATTTACTCATTAAATTTATATTATAGATTACTTTACTCATTAAAAGGCATTATATCTGTTTTCATTACCTTAAGAGGGAACACATCAAAATGAAATACTTTGCTGACCTGCTGCATTGAAAATATTCAACATCCCAAACAGCTTAAATAGTCTTAGTAAATAAATAACCAAATGAGGTTTCCAATAAAATTCACTTAGTAATATAAAAATGGCTTTCTTAAATTGTCGAAAAATGAAATTTTATTTGTGAGCTCTCCATGCAGGGCTAAAGAACTGATTTCATATCAAGTGAAAATGACTATCAAGTGAAATTAAAAATCATCTGATTTAAGTAAAAACCATCCTAGTTACCAATAGATAATAAAAACTATTTTAAATAATTATTTATTTAATTTTATTGCTCATTATTATTATCCTTTGTAGTTTGTGACAAGGCTCATGTGATCACGAAAGAGAGAGAGAGAGAGAGAAAATGCAAGCCACCAGATCCAGGACTTGAACCGTGTTTAGCCATGAGGGAATCCAGTGCCTTAATCACCATGCCACCTGCTGGCCCCAAAAATTTCTTATAAAGATACAAATAAGATGTAATTAACTTAGTCTGGGTCACCATGATTTGATTTTTAATAGCTCTCAGCATACAAGTTCATGACAACAAAAAACTATTTCTTCTCATCATAGTATGATTAATTCCCACCTTTATATAAAATGCTCATTGTTTAAAAGCAATAGCAAGATTTTTTAGTTAAATACCATCACCTTCATTAGCATAAAATAATTTTCTATCACAAATACTGCTCTTTCATATTGAATAAAATTTTAGGTAATAAAAAAATCCTTTCAATGTTAAAAAAATAAGACTCCTCCCAACATTTACACATTACAAAACAGTAAATTTGAGTCACTCAAATTTTAAACCACGCCTAAAGCTAGTGATATTCACATAGCAATATTAAAAATAGCATCCTCTTGTTTATTTTGCCAGTCAACAAGAAAAATAATTTTTACCATAAAACAAAATTAATTTTATACTCCATATGAAAGTCTCATACAATAAGAGTATTTAATTTTTATTACAACAAATGACAAGGGACAGCCTATTTGAGATGTAAATGTGTTCTATTAAAAAAAGCTTTAAATTAGGGGACCAGCAGGTGGTGTGGTGGTTAAGGTGCTGGCCACTCCCACATGGTTGACCAGAGTGCAAGTCCTGAATCTGGTGGCTTGCTTTCTCACTCCCTCTCTCTCTCTCTCTCTCTCTCTCTCTCTCACCCTCTGTCTCTTTCTGGTCACATTAAAAAATAAATGAATGAATAAATAAAATAAATAATTATTAAAAAAAAGCTTTAAATTCAACAAATACCAATTATCTGCTAAGACTAAATCCTTTACAGATAAAAGCTATATTTAAATATTTGAAACTAATAAACATGACATCTCTTAAGAAAACTGCATACTAGTATTTCCTAAGCAATTTTGATAGCTATTCAGAAAAAAAAAAGTTCTGTTGTGCTATAGTAGTACATTTAAATCCTAGTAGGGACTTCCAGAAAAGCGGAGTTATTAGGATTTACATAATACACCTTTAAAAGTGAAACCAGTTTCTTTAAAACAATGAAAATGGGTACAACATTCCTAGAAATTAAGTAGCAAATGTAAGAAGTTAGAATTTCCCTAAGACCACTAAGGTTTGTATAGAGGGGAAGCATTTCTCCTGATTTATTAATTTGCTTCTCTCTCTACTTCCTCATTTTTAGATCCAAGAAGACATAGAGCATAATGTGATGTACACATGGCAAAAATCCTCTGGCGAGAAGCTGTGAGGAAGTCTGACGAGCCAAAATTGTTGGAGAGTTATCAGAGTCCTATAAACTTGAAGGGAAACAGAGACCTGTGAAGGTTCTAAACATATCAATAAACTGGGACTAAAGGGATCCTTTAATTTATACTGACAACAAAAAGGAAGTATGACCAAAATATAGTCTCTAAAAATAAAATTTACTCTCCAATTACATTACAGTTTCCTACAAATCCACTTAAACAGATAAACCACTAATCCCAAACTCAAATAGCCTAAGAACAAAGATCATTTGACTAGTTTTTTCCCAAGGGATCAAATGTTTCAAAACTCTCTGGGAACAAAAAATTATGTCTAACCTTTTAATAAATTTGCCTCTGTAATCCTAACTTAAAATGTACATAGTCAACTGAGTTTAAAAAAAAAAAAAAAAGCAGACTTTAAAAAAAAATCTAATTTTATAGGAACCAAAACATCAAAACAAAAGCAAAACCCAAAGAAATGAAACAAGCTAGTATGAATAAAGCTAACAGATTGAAGCAACTTTTCTTATAATTTCTAACTTGTTATTACTTTTTATATAAAAAAGAAGGTCCAATTGTTTTGTATATGTCTAGGCCTGACCAAGGTCACTATCAAGAAATGCATGGCATATACAAGTGTTCCCTCCTATGGCTACACTAAATCAAATTCATAAGAACATTCTGATTTTGCACATTCAGTAGTAAGTTTGAAGCACCAACCTTTTTCTGAACCACAGATCTTAACCACCTAGGCTATAAAATAAATGCACAATCTTTACACAGCAACGAAAGATCTGGACTTCTACAGTCACTCAGAGCATAACAAAAATGAGTATTGACCCCAGTCTTTATACAAATTCTCCCAGTACCCACCAACTTTTCATATTTTAACAAAATATTTCAAAGAATCTCAGGAAGGTTGTGTGCTCGGTCTTCCATGAGAAACTCACTGGTATGCAGAAAATCCTTAACTCAGTTATTTCTATAATCATTTTGTAGAATAAAAAATTAATATCAACCTAGTTCATATATTTAACTTACGAAGTAAAATTCTATGCTAAAATATTTACAGTGGAATAAGAGAATCATAAAAGGTTCTACACTCTCTATTTAAATACTACTAGATGGAAAGGAACTCATCTTTCAGTCTCCCCACAATGAAATGGTCATTAAATGCCATTAATGGCCCACTCATATCTCATGGCTTAGTTCAGCCCAAAAAGATGATGAGCCTTCTCATTATGGAAATAAATTCTAATCATTTACACTTTTAAAAATACAGTTAAATGACACTTGACACCATTTAATTTTCAGTCTCAGTGTATAACATTCTGAAAACATAAAAAGGACTCAAGACCCTATTATGGTAATGCTTTTATTTAAGTCTTTTAAAAAAAAGCCTAAATTCCACAATCCCATAATAGGCAAATGGGCATGTTGGGGGTAAAAATCAGGAGCCAAAGCCTTACTTTTTACTTACATAATCATGACAGCCTGCTACATTACAATTTTAAAAAGCAGCAAAGCATGGAGCTTCACTTTATCAAATACACAATAAACTTTGAAAATTCTTAAGAAAAGGTTAAATACATGAGGGGAAAATGGATATAAAACAGTGGGAAGAATAGCATCTCTACACCCAATGAAGTAACAGGTTTAGGCTTGTTTGTACAGCTCCCTAAAATTTAATTTGAAACAGAATACAAAAATCAAATTCACCAAGTGATTGAGTTGGATGGGAAATGTTTTACTCTAGATTAAAGCATCCAATCACACAAGATAGGTTGCACTTATATACTTAGTAAACATATTCATTTACTTTGGCATACTAAATTGAAGGTAGTTGGACTAACTAGAAAAACTCCATTATTGGTACCCAAATAATTTTTTGAAATGTTTAAGTTAAGGGCATCTATCATCGCCACTGAAATCTCCAAGGCTACCTGAGTGGTTTTTTTTTTTTTTGTGGTGTCATTTGATTTGTCTCTCAGGGAAAAAAAAAAAAAAAACAATAAAATTAATCAACTAAAACACAGCGTTACAATTTGCGGTAAAATCAACAGATTCTTTGTAAACGGCTGGGGGAGGAAAACAGCCCAGTCTTTCCATGTAAACATAATAAGCCTGTAATATACTGCAGACAAACGCACTGCATGGGGTGTGGAGGACCCGAGCTGATTAGATTACCACAACATCAGCCTGGGGCCGCCATTTTTAGAATCTGTAAAGGACAAAAGAGGGAAATTTCAGTTTTTACTCCCCATCTCAGAAATTAAAGGAGAAAACGGACTGTTTCCCCTTTAGGTATTGACGTCTCCGGCCAAGAGTGGAGTGCACCTCACCTAATTCTCTGCAAGGTTTCTCCAAACTCCAAACACATTATGTTATTCACATCTCTAACCAGGGACTAAGGCTGGGAAACCGGGGTTGACTCTAGAGCTAACTCGGGCGATTTCTGACTTGAAACGGTGGCAGTCTAAGACAGAGCCTGGCAAGGCCGGATCTGTACGAACTAAGGCCAGTGGAAGAGCGAGCGAGCGGGCGAGCGAGCGCACCGGGATTGTTTTTCTCTCTGCCCTCCCGGTTAGCACAGGGAGCCGTTTGTTTCTCGTCTGTGTCTGCTGCCACCGTGTTGGTGCCAATCCCTCGGTCAAAATAAGCTTTTCTGAAATGAGCCGTATTGTGGAGTCCAGGCTCCGCACGGTAAAGGACGGCGGTGCTGCACGGAGTGGGGGAGGAGACTGAGCAGGCTGGGTACTGGGGTGACCACCTCAGGGGCGGGTTTACCCTCTCCCGGAGAGGATGAGGAGCTGTCTCGCTCTCCCACAATAGCGATGCCCAGGGCGTTCTCCGAGCCCCCTGCGTAACTACGAGATCCGTACACCCGCGTCTACCAGTCAGGAAACCGGAGAAGATGGGGCCTATACGGCTTTTCAGCACCTCGACCAGACGCGGCCGAGAGGAGCCGAGCTGGCAGCTCCCGGGACCCCTCCGACGCACACCCCACTAACAGTCACCAGCCGCCCTCCTAGCCCAGCGACCCTAACCCGCTGCCGAGGAGTGCGCCCCTCCCTCACTCCCACTCTCAAGGGGGGTTAACTGCCAGTTTCCCCTTCCCCAACCCCAAAACCCGCCATAATGCAGCATTTCTAGGGACAGGGGAGAGAAAGGAGCAATTCGATCTAAACCAGCAACGTCTTGCCCCAGCAAAGACGCCTGAGCGTCAACGACGCCCCCCCCTCCCCGGAAGGATAAAGATGAGTACCCCGGTCCCCCTGGAAACACAGGTCCCCCCACCCGGCAAACCCCAGGAACTCCCACGGAGACGACAGGCACTGACCTGTGATGTTCACACACTGGACACCCGAACCCCGTTATCTGCTCGACCCTCGAGGAGTCTCTCCACACCTCGGCGCTCAGGCGACCCCCAGACAGCGGCCACTGCGGACACAGGACCCGGCTCCACACACCCCCTCCCCAAACAGCAGTGCGCAGCCTCTTCACCCGGAACCGAGGAGTCGGGGAG